GAAAAGATTACATACAAAATGCATACACCATTTAAATGCAACTGACCAATTTATCAGCACACGTTTTTTTAAACATCCAACAGCAACATCTATTTCCTGAGAGAAAGGCATCCTTCCTGCCCACCATAGCATCTTCTAGCTCTCCAAAGCACATTCTTGATTGAGAAGGGTGTAGGGGGGTAATTTTTACAAACTGTTATGTTGGTGATAAAGTATTTATTTATAGCAGAATATTAATGTACTAGGATAGTCTCAACACACTGAAAGACTCTTCGAAGACTTTGTACCCCAACAGCCCATACATCTTCAAGAGAGGAAACCACAAGGCCAGTGATGTTGGTTTTGACTATTGCAGCAAAACGGCTTTCTCCACCCATCTGAGTGTAGATTATGAGACATGACTAGCTAACGAGTAAACATAGCTTTTAAGAAAATGGTCAATCAAGTTGAGCCAACAGTTGCAAGAAGAATAAATCCGGCTTGTAGTTACAGTCCTAGTGGAATTCTGAGGCAAGTATCTGAGAGGGGAGGCTTTAAACAGGTACGCCTGGTGACGGAACGAAAACAAGCACTGTGACTGTATGGCATATTTTGCAAAGGCTACATTAATACCAAGTTTCTATCTTCAAACCACATTTCAACCCACTCCCCACAACTTATCTGATTTCAATCTGTTTTTTAAAAAAATATGGTTTAAGCAGAGAGTAAGGGAGATCACTGAGGTGCATGGAATGACTAAACATGAGGCCACTGTGTTTACATAGAGTAAAACATCACAAGAATTTGAAAGAAAAAAAAATCACTAAGTACAAAATACAGTTCGTCAATCTCAACTTTTTTGCTTGTGCCTCTGAAATGCCATTCCGACCTCCTTCAGCTATATGCTACTCTTACTTTTCACTAACTCATACCTGCATTAGCACCATGCATATTTGAATACAACTAAAAAAAGAATTTTAAAATAAAATTAATCTTAATGGTCACTTTCCAAAATTAGAGCTGTAGTACAATTTTTAAAAATTCAACAATATGAATCTAGAAAAGCATAAAGAAAAACTAAAAGGGTACCAACAATGTAAAGGATTTTATTTTTCAAATCTTTTAACTGTTTGGAAATTGTTTATTCGAAGCTGACATTTTATTTAAATATCCTACTCAGCAATTGTGAAAACAACTTCAACCTACATTTCTTCTCCACTAAAATTCACCATTTTTCTGTCAAACTCTTCCTAACAACGGCACTTTTTGTGCTTCTTAAATATCAGGAAAAAGGGATCCACAATGGTATTTCATATAGAATATATCACATGTTGGCTTAATCACATATAAATCAAATCTTATGCCAACTAAAACATTAAAACAGGATATAAGGTGCCAGCAAAGAATAAAACTAAAATGTATATCTAATTAACTTTTTAATGAAATGCTTGTGAAACCATTCCAGCCAATTAGAGTGTGCTAGAAATATTTATCAGTCTCAAGTCTTGTGAGTCTTGTAAGTATACCTCTACAATGTAATACTTGTATCACTATACCAGATGCATCCTCAAAGGTAATTGTTTCATCTTAAATCATGCAATCCCAGACATGCTCTGAGGAGAGGAGACAGAGAAAGTGGAACTGCTTCTGGCAAGGTTAACCTGTTCAGGGGGCATTAGGATCTATCTTTGAAGAAAAGGTTTCTGAAATGAAACTTATAGGAAGAATTTCCTTTCAGAGAAAAAACAAGGGAACTTCTCATCTTTGGTAAGGATTTTAAATTTTAGTTTAAGAAATAAAAATTGAAATGCTTTTTAAAACAGTCTCAAATGATTAATATAAATCTTTTAACATGGAATCATAAAAGCAGTATTGATCACTTAAAACACTACGACATTTAAACAAATCTTTATTTTACAATTAGACTAATGCCATTTAATTTTAGATACCTACAGGTGAATTCACACTTCGTTTATTACCTTAGGACACATAAATGTACACCAGTGATAATACAGTGTGTGTGTTAATATGCAAACCACCAAGACCTGCCATCTGGAGAGCTAATGAACAATCAAGGGATCCCAAATTAAACTACAGAATTTTCCCTTAGAATCTTTAGGACAACACTGTCAAGTTCAATCTATTCACTTAGCCTCCAGAATCAATTTTTCAAACTTTATGACAGGTCTAATAGTTTCCACCTGTTTCTCTTGCTTGACTTTTGACTGGCACGTTACCAGCCAGGGTGGAAATGCAGACAAAGACCCCTATTAGGCTCCGGCTGTTTCTCTACTGTGAGGTCGCTCAGCCATTAAATTAGTTCCAGCCTACTTTCTCCTTCCATGTCTTAATTTTTGGGGGGTATGAAGGTTTGGGGAAGTAGAAAGGAAGAGAGACAAAAGTTTGACATTCAGTTGGTGGGAAAGGTGTAAGAAAATCTAAAGCCAGGAAAGTTAAATGCTACACTTATTTATAATTTACTAACTAAATAATTTACTAACTAAATTTACTACTAATTACACTAATTAAGTTCTTGAGGTGTCTGTATCATATTTTCAATCATCACAAACTTGGTAAAATTTGAGAGACCCAAGAGAGTCTATCATGTGACATGTGCTTATTACAATATATGATTACATAAACATGGAATTGCAATTTTTTTTCCAAGAATCACGAATGATCAATAGGTACCTATTTTTTGTTCAAGCAAAGAAACTCTTTTTTCCTGAGATATGTTTTCCTGACATTCAGAATTAGCAATTAGAAAAAAGTTAGATATGTATATCCGATCAAATCCATATTGGTTCATTTGGAAGTACCTTAAAAACCTGACAACCTTTTTCTTCAATAAAAATTACCTAATAGGTATCTGCATCAATTTCTAGTGATTTATGAAATGTTATCATCTGTGAAGTCTCAGGGTACTTTGCTGCACTGCAAATCACATGGGCTACATTATTCTATTATCCATGACAACTAAGTATTTACACTAACAGCAATCATAATATTTAAGACAAAGATTTTAACTTATTGAAACAAAGGTCTTTCTGTAAGATAGATTTAAGTGTTCAAATTACAAACTGTCTAGCATCATCTTCCCAGTATAAGCTACTTAGAGCCGGGACTTCTAGTTCACATCTTACCTGAACACTGACTACCTGAGCTGCATTATGATGGGGAAAATCTCGAGGACCCACATCTGTAAACACTTCATTACATTTGGGCCACTTAATGTAAAAAAGCAACCTGAGTGCTGAAGACTCTGCTAGCACAGCACTTCAAAGATAAGAGAGTAAACGTTCTACAGTCACTGAAAAACCAAGAGCCCTTCTCTTAGCTCCCTTGCCTTTCTTGACAATACAATCATATATAAATTGGCCAGACATGATTCTATTTAGCTTGTGATACCTAAATTCACAAAACTCTGAATTATATACTTAATCTTACCAGTATGTGTGAATAATTTTACTGAGAACCACCACCAAAACCAACTGTCAGAGAAGAAAGGTCTTGACCTATTGAACTATCACTTTGTAGGTTTCTTCACAGTACTTCTGCTTTCAGTCCAATGGGCTGAACATGCTCTGAACACTAAAAATTAAGAAGCAAATACTACAAATGCTTCTATAAAATAAGTCTTTTCTTTGTAGCCTCTTATCGAACTAGCATATCTGTCTATGTCCAAAAGTCATTGCAAAATCAGTTGCAGTATGAAGATGTAGATCTGGGGGAAGGGAAGTGGCAAAATTAGATAGCAACGTTTTTTTTTAATAGGTGTGCACAGGAATACATATGCAAACACAGATAATAGCTTGGAATTAAAATATTTGTATTTGATTCCAACTGCCTCTAATCGCAGTATTTTAGCACAAATTATTTGTAAATTCTATCCCAGTGTCAACTGTAAGACTACAAACTGATTTACTTTAATACTATTATAATGCATCCTCATTCACAGATTTTGTTTGCATATATTCTAAAATAAATCACCTTTATTACTTGCAAGAAGGCATATTCTCTAACTTATACTGGTCTCAATTTAGGCTCTCTAGCTGAGAACTGAAGCTATTATTGTTTGTTAATTAATCAGTTACAATAACATTCAGGATGATTTAACTGATAATGTTGATTTTAAAAAAAAAAATTGAAACAAAATTCCCGAGGTTATTTTCAACAGTAAAATTAATCTGCAATTTCTGCAGATAAAGTAACACTGATACTCAAAAGTAGCTGTCAAGAAGAGTTATAACTGCAGGTAGAAACACACATAGAAAAATCTGTCCTGAAGAGCAACAACTTCCCAAAGACAGTTTTTTCCATCGGACTATTTCATGAAATGTAACAGTAAAGTCTTTGTACATAGACTCCAACCTAAGATTTAGTAACTGCGATTTTCATATTGCTTAATCCCATTCAAAACTCTGATAAACTACCCTCTCAAAGCTACCCCACAACTCATTCACAGGGTCATCTATGTGATGATGAAAGAACATCTAGCATAACCCTAACCGATGTTTACAAAAACCCAACAAACCCCTAAAGGACGTTTTAGCGAAATATTCAGTAAAAGGAACAAGAAAAAGCAGTAATGATAAAATTAAGGCCACAATCTACTTGGTAGCACTTTTGTCAAATAACTAGCTTAGAAAATAACTAGTACTAGAAAATGCATATAATCTCCTAAATATGCATATTTAAGAACTTAAACTTCCCTATGGTGATGTTCATGCTTTGCAAGAGGAATAGTGATTAAACTCCACTGCCAAGTAAAAAGTTGTCACACTTATATTTTCCCACCTTTTTATGGCTTAGTATTTTATACATTATCAATTAATATTTTGTGAACACAAAGATCTATCTTGTGTCCTATCTAGAAGATAATCAGCTTTTTTTCACTTTGGCTAGCTTGCAGGCAACAAACCTACCAAAGAGGAAAAAGTTTCTTTCTGAACATTGTGTTACTATAATGGCAAATTCCAGATCAGAAAGCTTATTCGATATGGTGTAGATCACTATCTTACCCATCTAGAAGATTCATTGTTGTTGTGGTAACTTCAGTAAAAAGAACAATCTTTCCAAGCTTCTTTGTTTGAAGATTCTGTTGATATGTCTTCAGGCTGAAATGTTCTGATGAGAAGCTTCCCACCTCAGTGATGACTTGCATGAAAGATGGAGTTATCTCCATTTTCGATTCCCAAGATGTAACAAATTTAAGAGACACCTTGCTGGATGGTTTTAATCCTTCAGCATCTACACTTCCCTCAAGCCATTTCAGAAAAGCAAGATTGATTTCCTGTGGGCAAGGGAAATAAAATAAGGCATAGAAATACAGACTGCTACACATGAAGACATAAAAACATTCTTCTGAGAACATTTTTACACAAGCAGTCATCTTTCACTTCAAAATAGAAATTTCAACTCAATTTCCTCTTCAAAGATCAACTTCTGCTGCTTGTTCTATTCCAGCCTGGCCTGACTACTTGGTACTCTTTCTAGACCTGAGATCATGCTCCTTTGCAGATGAATTATGTAGACACCAAAGCATGAAACGCACACATTTGTCTGTATTATGCAGGTTTCTCAACATGCTGAGTTTCTTTGCTGGAAGCCCTTTAGTACGTCACTAAGACTCGATTTGAAGAATAAAACAGCAGCTAAGAAAAATATTTACTGATTTCTCAGCAAAATAACTGCTAAAAGGGCTCATACCTTCAGCTAACGGAAGCTTTGCTACTATAGACAATTAATGCTGTTAATTAGTTAGCTAAAAGAGAAGTATGTAACTTGAAAATGCACACAACTAAGGAAATTCTGCTACATGCAGTTGTATGTATGCTCTGTTGTCATTGTGCCAGTCAATGGCACAGCTACTACACATTTCTGTGCAAAAGATTTAGAATGTGAAATATGCATGTACACGCATATATATTTGTATATAACTACACACCAAAACTTTGATTTTTCTCTCCTTTATTTTCAGCTATTTAGAAATAAATTTTTTTTAATGTGAAATTAAAATATTAACTACTAGGATTATTGTACTAGTCACCTGTCTGGTGACTCCCTGAACCAGTTGTTACACATTCATAGAACTCTTTCTGGAGATATTTAATTCTATTTTGAGAGATTTGACAGGAAATATTAGCCATGTCTTTAGAAACAGTAAGTTAAGAGCCTATGAACACAGATGCTGGGGCTTCTTTGCTAAGTCTGTAGCTTAGATTTTGAAGAGCTTTCCTAGAGACAAAGCGGTCTTTTATATGATATACAAAACCACAAAAATTGTGTATTCTCTTCTATTGAAAATAATGTACTAGTGATTCTTGCCCTCAAATTTTTAAAAGGAAGACATCTGACTTTTAAATAAAAAGCTTCTAACCAAATAAATGCCTCTCCTTCCCATTACTACTGTATCTGGGAACTGGAATACAAGTGTTTCCTACATGAGTGCTGAAGACAGGACTAAGTTCTCTTGCCCTTGAAGATGTCCCTGAGCTCCTACCTAACTCTTTAAAACCCACAAACTGCAATTAAGAGCAAACTTCCTATAAATAGTTACCTATCCAAGGAATTACTCCAATTTTCCAAATCCCATTGTTATATCTTAAGAAGGAATGAGAGAATTGGTCTGTTCCTAACACCTTTCTATAGATTTTCCATCCTCAGAAACTACACATTAACAAGTTTCACATGGACACTGCTTCTTGTGTGATGTTCTTTGTATGCTGAATGTTAGCAGACTTACTGGTCTGCAGCCCTGTACTACGAGTAGCAGAGCATAGTGCAAAGACAGGAATTGCCTCTTCCCAACTGCAACCAGGCACTAGCTTCTAAGCCCCAGGACGAGCTAAGAGTGACTCAGTAGCTAAGTATTAGTTACAGAGAAATTACTTCTCATTTCTTGGTTTTCTAAAGCTCCATCTAAACACTTTCCATCTAACTTCTTGGATAAAACATACTTTAAATATTTTTTTTTCTCTTTTTTTTTTTTTTTTTTTGCACATGCATGGTAAATGATGATGTGGCTTTAGAGGTTTTATGAGCGTTTCTTTGACTTGATCTGCATGAAGCACTTGTATCTTCACTTAGTGTAAAATCATAGCTTTGACAGACTGCTGCTGAATTCTTTACACACTATCCGACTTGTTTTACACTCACGCACACACAGAGTAACTTATTAGCTGTAACTGATATTTAGAAAAATTATAGCTTTCATTCTTGTGAGGGACCATATGGAAACTGTGTTTAATCAGAAAGTGCATTTTCCTATTGCTTTCCAAACACAGAAATTCACTTAGCATAATTGAGCATGCAAGTCCTAGACACGAAAACATAATTTTAATTCACATAAGGACAGGTTTACAGACTTACGGAAATAGACATTAAGTTAAAAATTAAAGGTGCTTAAAGTATTATTACATTCTAAACAAACAATGAAAGTGCTCGATACTATGCCTCAAAGTCTGGTGTACTTCTGCCACAGCATGCTTTCTGAAAAGACTGAAACAGCACACATTTATGTGTGATTTTATGTTGTTACAAATACACCACACAATTCCTACCATTTATCCTCTTGAGTATGTACTTTCTGGTGATTTTTCCCCCATAGGTTTTACATTTACTTCTTGGTTTAATTTTCTTGTTTCTAACGCATACTGAACCATTTAAGAATTCTTACATGTGTATAATTATGAAGCTAATTTTCCCATAATGTACACGTTTATTGAGCTGATCAAAAATATAAACATGAGTAATACATAATCAAGAACAGCATTTGATTTTTAAAAAATCGTAAAAAATGTTTTTACATTTTTAACAAAGCAAAGTTTCAGGTGCTGTCCAAGTACATGCTAAAAGAATTAATTTTCACTGTAAGAATCTCCTTCACACAAAGTTACAGAAACACAGATGCTGAACCAATGCATTTTGGTCCCCACAATTATACCGGCACACAGAAAAGTACATTTTTGTATAATGAAATAAACATATTGTATTGGGTCTGGATGAGATGGAGTTAATTTTCCCCATAGCAGTCCTCATAGTGCTGTGCTGTGCTAGAAAGGTGTGGGTAACACACCAGTGTTTTGGCTACTGCTGAGCAGTGTTCCCACAGCATCAAGGCTCTCTCTCCAACATGCCCCCCTCACCAGTAGGCCGGGGGTAGGCAAGATCCTGCAAGCGGACATAGCCAGGACAACGGACCCAAACCAACCAAAGGCATATTCCATACCATATGAGGTCTGCTCAGCAATAAAAGATAAGTGAAAGGAAGGTGGGTGGGTGCATTTGTTACTACATTTGTCTTCTGGAGCAACCAGTATGTGTACTGACGTCCTGCTTCTCGGGAAGTGGCTGGACGTCGCCTGCTGATGGGAAGCAGAAAATAAATCTTTGGTTTTCCTTTGCTTCCCTATGCAACCTTTGCTTTTACTTTATTAAACTGCCTTTATCTTGGCCCACGAGTTTTTTTCCATCTTATTTTCTCCCCCCGACCCCGCTGAGGAGGGGGAGTGATAGAGCAGCTTGGTAGGCATGTGGCGTCCTGCCAAGGTCAACCCACCACATATACACAAGAAGTCAGGGTTAACTTCTGCTTCAACTCCATTCGAAAGGAATATAATCATGTCAGAACCTGAACTGTGCAATTTGTTGCCAAGTTCAGGATTCAAGCTTTGAATTCAAAACCTATCCCCAGCTGTGACCGCCGTTCTGCAGCAACCTCTGGTGGCCATTTAAATGAAAAGTGTTGGTTCAGGAACTGTCTGGCCTTCCACACCTCTGGGACCAGATCAGGTGTGTCAAGCAAGGCATCCAACACAAGGTAAGGGAATACCCAAACTCCTGGCCACTGCTTATCCTGACTGTTATCAGGATCCTAAAACATGCAGGTGCAAGCTTTAAATGAGTATGCAATCAAAAAAAGCTGTAGCTGTTACATATTCAGGCACCACCACCACTATCTGCAGCTACTTACACATACAATCATACTAAAATCTGTATTATGCATAGTATCAGTAATATACTTTGTAAATATAATAACTATACTTGTTTTAGGGTGGCACAAATATAACAATGAAATTGTTATTCTTCATTACTGCATCAGTTTTGGATAGGAGAACTGAAGTCAAGCCAAATCTCCTATAAATCTGTTCATTTTTCAAAAAAACATTTTATATGTACATTCTCTAAAGCAAAGATATTGCCTTCCTTCTTAAAGAAAGAATGAAATTTGACTTGTCAACCAACTTGTCACCAAGAGAGTTAATCCGCTTTTCACAGTTAAAATAATCAACTACAAATTTAATATTTATAACGAGAAAATGTTTCTACCCATATTTTAAATTGTAAAAGCACAATATATTTTCAATGCATTGTAAAAAACAATTACCAAAAGCAGAAAAGCACTACACTAACAGGAACTACCCACCACTTCTCACTAAAAAATTCTTCCCCAGCACTCCAAAGCACAATTTAAATCCTCCCAGACAGAAGCATGCAGAGAGATGAAATTACCAAGAAGTGACAGCCTCACTGATCGGATACCCAGGGACAAAGAGATCAGCCGGTAGAATTGTGATTGTCAGACTGAAGGCGTCACTAAATGGAAAGTTGTTCTGAGCGGGCAGGGAGATACAGTGCATGTTAATTCACAAAATTCATAGAAATAGGGAGTTACGCCACTGCTTACTACATATTCTCAGGTCCTCAAGTGACCAGCACAAAGGTTTGTTAGGGGTCACAGTATCAAGGAATGCAGGTCTGACATTGCAAGTTGTTGAACGTAAGTTTAAATGGTAACTGTAATATAAAGAAGGAAGAGTAAAAGCTGTATTTGATTTATGATTTAACAACTGCTTTCTATGATTTTAAGAGTTTGGTCAGGTGTGTGAAGAAGCTGGTACATAAGAGACATTTTCTTTTGCTGTTTAAAATTCTTTTTATTTTCATAATCATTAGTTTCACTTTTTCCTAATGCTTACTTAGTGGTTGAGATTGAATAAAAAGGAGAAAAGAGGGAGACATAAGAGACAAAAACCAGCTGCATATGGACCCTTCTCTGTTATAGTATAAAATAACAGAAAATTACAGCTCCTGATGGAGAAGATTTTATTTGCACCTGGGCTCTATCAACCAATGAGACTTACGCACAAAGCACATGAACTTTCAGTTATAACAGTTCAAAATAATCCCAAATCCAAGACTTTACTCTTACATTCTATTTATGTATATAATTTTGATGTATTTTCTTATTTTTATATGTATGTTCATATACACACACAGATATATGCAAGT